AGAGATGTTTTTAGGAACGTGGGTCCTGCTTTTCAGAAACACTTGACTTGAAGAACCTATCATACCTCAGCATCTCTGAATATCGAGGCTGTGATGTGTTTACTGACTTCTGATTTGTGTTGAGCGGTATTCTTCTGGAAAATGATTTTTTGGGCATATCTATGTTATCTTTAGCCAAGAATTTGGTACCTCCTAAAGAATGAAGAAGGAAAACAAAAATGTCACCCTCATTCTTATTCCTCAACAGAGTTTTTGAAAAATGGTTTATGAGATTTTTATATTTTATTATGAGATCAGTGGGTAAGTTCATGTATGAAGAACTCATGAAGCAAGGTCAAAAGTAAAGTTTTTAGGAAAGCAAACCGAGTCCCAGAAGGTCCAAGTCCTATGACTTATCCCCTGCAGCAGTCATTTATCTAAATGAACTCTAGCAAAGTCCTGTTCTTTTTAGTTACAGGGTCTTCATTGATACTTGAGGTTATCCCTGCTCTGATTTTTTTTTTTTTCTTTTTAAATTATACAGCTGATGCAGAGGTCGGTATCTGCTTGCTGATGAAGGGAGGTGCTGACTGACAGCACTGCCTGCACAGCACAAGGTTCTGTCCATGTTAATGGGCAGATCGTTTCCTTCCTCATTTTCTCAGCACAGTCGGGAGATTAAGGAGCAGGAGATCAGAGCAACCTTTCTTAGCCAACTGAAGTAAACTTTGGAATCCCCGCAAAACATGTTACCAAGTGAACATTATCAACAGAACATTATTGGTTACAAATATTAATGTGATGTAACAGCGTATCTGTTTGAAAACTGATGATACATAAGCTAATTAATGCTTTCTAGCGTGCAAAAAGTAGGTCACTGCCTGCTCATTCACATCCTGATATGGATCATTGAATTGCAGTATCAGTCACTAAGGGTGGTATTTATTTTAAGATAAAATCTGTATCCAGAAATGTAGTCAATGTAACCTTCCTGATTGGTAAATAGTCCCTTAGAAACACTACAAAAAATAATTAGGAAAAAAAGAATTTATGTTTATTTTAAGTCAGTGTATTTGTTCTCACCTAAACCCTCTGATCTTCTTATTCGCTAATGTTCCCAAAGAACAGAATTTCTTCTTGTTCCTATAAATCTCAGTTGTTTTCTGCAACAGCTTGTGACTTTCTTATGTGACTATCACACTGGAAAAGTGGCCTTTGGATTTATGAAAGAAATCAGGAGGCAACTAACCGTAGACCTTTACAGTTGGGGAAATGATAGTGATATAGTGATTTTGAAAAAGACAAACTATCCTTCCCTAACAGCTACTTTAAAAAACACGACTTATTTTCTTCTCCTGTCAATATATAATGAGTAGTATAATATTTTTAATTTTCATTGGAAGTTAGGTTCTTCCTTTGGCCTCTCAGGATTCTATGCAAGAGTCTAGTATTAATGGAAAGAAGTCATCAACTAATGACATGTGGTTATAAGCAGTTTGTGTCCACGAAAAGCTAGTACAATTCTTTTAACCTCTCAATTTTGCAAATTTTGTAACTTCAATAAAGCATAGATGACATCATTTAGGAAGAAAGGTCCAAAAAATGGGTCTGACCTGATTCTAGTTCAGAGTATGCACGTTCCTGGACCTGTGCTGTGCTTACCCTGCTCCTGTGCATCACTTGGGGTGCATACGTAAACCAACTAGACCAACCTGATGACTAGCTGAGAACAGACCAAGCCCTCTGACAGATAGGTGAGCAATCTAACTACCTTCTTCAAACTAGATTCACTTCCCATCCTGCCCAAGCCTATTAAACTCATTATTTGGATGCTTCAAATACTGTTTTCATTGCTGATACATCAAACGAACCTCTGTCAGTAAATCACACCTTTCAGAACTAGACAGTAAAAACACAGTCAGTCTGATGAATCACCCTCCATTTCTAAATGACTATGATTTAACACTAAATGTAATCAAACTGCGTGATGTGAGTTTCAACCTGTGCTAGAGATCAGCCCTTATATTGAAAGGAACACTTGGAGCACATTAGCAGTGGATATCTGCTGCTAGTGTGTTTAGTACATAATTGGCACATCACACTCTGTCAGTGCTTTCCTTTTTCCTGGTGAGAAAGATATTTTCAACATCTGCACATATCTGGTTCTAAACTGACAAAAATCAGTTTCTGTGTTGTTTGTATCTCTGCTGGACCCTTCAGAAATCCTTCACTAAATTATCACTGAAAATGTAATGAATGCAACATATATGGTATTCATCTTTTAGGCTTTTCTATTAGACTGTTGTTTCTGATACTGTCTTTTATTAAACACTTTACTACAAGCTACAGTAGTACAAGGCTGCTTTTGTGTGTTAAAGAGAATGCATCTTTTCTGTTTGCTGCCCAGCTTCTTGAGGATGACCTGCACCACGGAGCAATAGGAGTTCATCACCATGTCTGCGGGAAGGGGGGTACCCTCCTCCAACAATGTTTGACGCAACTACAGCTCCTGATGGCTGAGTCACTGGACTTACAGGGGTTTAGTAGCTGCCAGCCACATTGCAAATGAGTCCCAAATTAAAACTATCAGATTATGTACCACATTGCATCCTAGTCCAGGTTCTGACTTTTCAAGCTTTGACTGAGTGTATAAAAACAAACCTAGAAATGTGTGGATTTCACACAGAATAGATGCAAATCACAGAATTTTATCCTCACTGAAGCAGAAGCTTCACTTCTGCTTGAAATTGCCCCATTCCAGCCCTAAAGCACACCTTGCAGAACAGGTTACAAGCATAGGAAGATTAAAGGCAGAGTGAGAAGCAAATGTACAGGATAATGTACAAACAATATGTAACATGTACAGGAAAACCTAATTTTATTGAGTAGTAAGACAATGTGGATTAAGATATTAAAACAGTTATTTCAAGAGTCTTAAGAACTCTTCTTTGACAGAGTAGGAAAACTCCATTTTTAATTACTCTGAGTATATTACAGATATGCTATTTCCAGGCACCATTTTCTCTCACCTGCTCTGTCTTCCTTGGGGTTGATCGGAGGTGCGTATGTCGGGTGCCTGCTGGGGACAGTGTGGAGTGTGTGACCAGGGGTGCAAGAAACTTGCTCAGGCACAGTAAAGCAATTTCTAGAATATTGACATAAAGAACGGTCACTTGGTCCCTGTATTTGCCCTAGTGATTATGAAACACCACCTCTATCTACCTGAAAACCAGGAACAGGTGTTAAACACAATGAAATCTAGCTTTTATCCAAAAAAAAAAAAGAGAATGCCATTTAATTAGCTCTCAGGCCAAAGCCAGGCTGCCCTCAACTGCTGCCTCACTGCTGAGGCCCAGCTGGCCCAGGGGCTAGTTAAGGCCCAGCTGTGTCCAGAGGCCCACCAGGCCCCAGAGCCTGCTGGGATGCCCTGCGGCCATAAGGAGCAGCCTCCCCCAGGGCAGGTTTGCATAAGCCTGGCTGGAGGTGCCTGAGGAGGTGGAGTAGAAGCAGAGTTGAAGGATGCCTGGCCTGGTGCAGCACGTCCCTGGGGCGCCAAGGCCTGTCCTGGGGCTGCAGCCACAAGGTAGGGCCCCTCACGGGTGGTGTGGCTTGTGCAGCAGTGAAGTCCTCCTGGGGAAGGTGCTTGTGACACAGAAGGGGTAGGTGGCTGCTGGGTTGTGTTTGTGGAGTGCTGGTGTGCACAGGTCCCCAGAGATGCTGCGGATCTGCCGGGGTGCTGCTGGCCTGAGCTGTGGGGTTGGGCTGACATCTTCCCGTGCCCAAGCAGAAGGGAGTGTGGTGGTGGGGCTCTGCCCAACCACGTCTCCAGGCTGGCTTAGCTGCTCCTGTACGGCTTTCTCAGTCAGGAAAAGCTGATGTAAATGGTGTCGCTGATCTTCCACTGCTTCTCCTGAAGGTCCTGCAGCCCACAGGCACAGCTCTCGGGAAGGGTGGAGCGAAAGGTGGCTGTGCCACAAGCTTGGTCAGCCTTGTGCCAGTGCCAGGGAGCACGGCTGCAGCTCCAGGGAAGCAGTGGGTCCCACCTGCTCCAGAGCTCCCTGGTCAGGTGTGTGCTCAGTAGGTGAGGGTCCTACAACAGCAGGTCCTTGGTGGAATGAATGAAATTTTTCTCTGAGGATTATAAAATATAACTGGTTGAATCTAGGGTCACCTTTGGAAAAGTAGTTTATTCTGTCTCTGATAATGTTATACTGAAATCAGCTGGCAATGATAGCATTTGCTCTCCTGTAAGGAATAGGTACAAAAGCGTATTTAAGAAAGATACAAGACCCAAAACTAATTCACTAGTCTCTTAAAAAAGAAAACCAACACTTCCTTTCATTCATTCTATGCTTTCCCTATTCTTGTTGATTTGTGTGCCACTGCAGACCTCCTCTTTAGGGCCAGAGCTAGAGATGATTTGAATGAGCCTACCAGGTCTGAGTTTCTGCAAGGTCTAGGGAAATTGCCAACTCCTTTGTAGATTTGAATTTTTCTTTCTAGTTTTACTAAATTAATGCAGCTTCCTATATGGCTGCCACCTTAATATAGTGCAGAAAGTTTTTGCTTTTGGGGAGCAATAAACTATATATGAAACGGCATTTATCACAGTGAGGATCTGGCAATTCTTTATTAACAAGAGTTTTGTGAAGCTTATTGAATACTTGAGAGGAAAAATTGTACAATGCTTAACAATAATTTGCTAATACATGAACTTCAGGGCAAAGAGTGAATGCAGTCTGCATGTTTGCCTCCCTGAGCTTCAGCTGGGCTTTGCTTTCAGACTTGAGTGCTGGCATCTCGCCTCAGAGCAGTGAAGGCCTACCAGTGTGGGTCTCAGTAGTTTTCTTGACCGTGAAACTAAAACAAGTCGTTCTTAGAGGCCTCATTTAGAAGGCTGACCTATACAGTAAAGGATGCTATTTGAAGTTTGCATCTAATAGCTCATGTAATAAGACAAAGCACTAGTCATGAAAAACGGACTAGAACCGAGACGACTTCCTTATGAACAGACACACTGGTATGTTTTTATTCATTAAAATAAAAGCACACAAAATATAACTGCACACAAGAACACACATCTGATATTCCAACGTCATATCTCACAAAGAAAAACCTCTTGCTGTAACTCTTCTATTAGCAGAAATCCAATTTGCAAACTGTTGTTTAACTATAAAGGCTTTAATCAAAACAAGTTGAATTCCCCTTTCTAGGAATACATCAGAACCACACAGACGCACATAGAGTTCCAAGGCAAGTTCTACAGTCCTGAAGTAGACAAAACTTCCACAGCAAACCTGCCTATGTTTGCAGAGTAAGTAAATGTCTATTATTTTCATAGTTTGTCATTTACAAGCCAACTTATTTAATTTTTTTAAATACTTAAAACAAGTTTCACTTTAATAAGTATTTACAAAATCTTTACTAAAGATCAACATCCTGCATAAAGGTGACCTCAAGGATATTTTGTTGCTACCATGCTACAGTTTGCACAGAAGGGGTATAAAGGCCATTGCTAGTTTTGGAAGGCTTAAACCCTTTGTCAATATAGCATAAGGACATTAACCTATGGAAGGCAGAAGAGGTCATAATTTCAGTGCAATTGCCCATTTGTGTCTTCTTTTAAGTACATCAAGATGATGAGTCCAAAAGACTTGTTTTTTGAATTATTGACCATTTAGTTCTCTAAGAACTGATTTCGTGGGAAGATTTCAGGCCATCACATCTGTCTTCTACTGATGATATGAAGAAGTTGCATAGGGGCCTTCCTCATTCTCCTCCTCTCTAAAAAGAAAATGATGGTAATAATCAGATCAGGAATACACCATGTCTCAACAGTGAAACTGTAATGCCAATGCAGATAACCAGTTTTCCTAATGGATCAAAATAGGCAGGCTGGCATTGCTTAACAGGAATACCACTTGCAGTATGCTACTGCTCATTATACCTCTCTGGAGCTCTTGTTTCAAGGGCAGAATGCTGAAAACATGTAAAGTTGCCTAAGTTCAACATCAGAATGTATTTAGAGTTTTATGAACTATTCTTGACACTACAGTGTCAAACTGATGGTAAATACTGTAAAGGATAAACAAGTGGAGGGCAGGCTGGAGTTCCTGAGAGCTGTTTTCCATTCTTTTTTAAAAGCCACGCTTGTTTCTATGTTTGTTTCAGCCTTCTGAATGGCAAGGGGTGCAGATGGACCACATGAGCAGGGAGGGGAGCAGTCTGGAATAGCTGTAGCTGGATCTGTGTCTTGATGCCTCAGGGATATTCCTTGAGTGAGCTCTTTGATGTATATCTCCTCTGCATCAACCAATACCAACACTGATCACTTCAATTTTTTTAGGAGAAAAGTTGCCCACGAGTGCTATTGTTAATACAATGACTGGATAAACCAAAGTAGTGTTGCTATTAAAAAAATCCTCAGGAAAAATCATTCTGCCTACTGTTTACTTGACAATATTGCTTTTTAAAAAAGTCGTTATGTAAACCTATTGCAGTGTGGCATCCAGTACTAATTCAAGCATGCTAAGTTCTCCAAAGATCAGTTTTCTGCTCCTGCAGCTTCAAAATTATGTTCCCGAGAGCCTATTCTTAGAGCTGTTGCCAGTTTTGGTAAGAACAGAAAGACTTAACAGCTGCTACACTGAGTGTCAGAGGATTTCCAGTTACTTATAATACTGTCTGTACCTCCATAAAGATGCAGTTATTCTAATGCTCTAATAATGGCATAAGGTGTATATTTCAGTAGTATTCCAAACCCCAGCAATGCAGACTTTCCCTATAGCTTACCTATTAACTTCTAACCATGACTATTTATCTACAGCTTAAATTACATGTGTGTGTGTGTCCCCCAAACAGTCAGGGGAAAGAACCCTACAAACTAGCTCAGCAGCTGAGTAACTTGTACTGATTTTCCTACCTCTTCCTGATTCTTGGGTGGTCCAGCAAAATTGTCATCTTAAGCTGAAGACCTAATATTGCTACTTCCTTGAAACAACCTTGTCAAAAAAAAAGGTTTTGGATTAAACTTGTAGTTATTGCAGGGATGTGTGGTTATAGTAGTATTGAAAATCATTTTTAGCCTTTCTTATAAATACTATGTCTATTTACATTAGTGACGCTACAGACAGAGTCCCAAGCATGAATCTTAAGATGAAGATGATTTGTGTATATTTACATATCACCAATTCTGCATTGCACTGCTGATGTGGAACACTATAATTTACAAATGCTGTTCAAAATAACTGGCATGACAGTAAGAAAGCAAATAATTCATATTTAGTTGAATAAGCACTAAAGCATTTTTGCTTTATAAAATGTTTCAAGGCAATATATTTTAAAACTTTCAGAATCAAAACCTATCAACTTACAAGCTTGTAAGACTGGATGGCAGGACTGTAAAATTCAATAACTACTTGGCTGAGGGTAAATATTTTAAAGTGTATTTTGCAGCTTTGATACGTGCTCTTCTGGGGCAATGGGTTTCTAGCCACATATAGTTGGAACAGAGTTGCAAATAGCCATCTCCTGCTAGTTTGTGAGGATGGAGAACTGTATTTTCAGAGCTTAGGCCGTCCAGTAGGGGAGAAGCCTACTTTCTATGCTGTACACTGGAAAATGTTGTACTACTTAGTTTTACTTACTAGTTTTAAGTTTCTCCTTTTAGGGGAATAAAATGTGGCAGTTTCAGGAAAAAGTCCTTCTTTCTGATCAGATGCTGTCAGAATCAGCCTTTCAAACACTTAAGTAACAAAACAGCTAGTCTAAACTGTTTGTCTCTCACTTTCCTTGTGAAATATGCACTTGAACTATGGGCTTTTACTTGGCAGATGTCAAGAGAGGGCAGAAGACTCACCGAGGAGTCACAGCCAGCTTTGAAGGGTTCTCTGTGTGGCACGGATGTACGAACCATGGAGTAGGTCATTGTGCTTGAACCTAAGCAAAGCAGTGGCTGGCTATAACGTGCAAAATTAACTTCTGACCAAGGCTCAGGCATGCTGTTGTTGGCAGTAAGGGCTGGCAAGAGCAGCTTCTAACCTTCTGTCCCAAGCTGCAGCACTAGGCTGTGTGATGAGGTCTGCAGCACATGACCCCAAGCCAAGCTAACGGCTGGGAAATGTCACTAATGTCAATCTTCAGAACTATACATAGCAAGTACAAGTCCATTCTGATAGGTTAAAAACAAGCCAAACTTTATATAAAATAAAACTGTATAGTAGTAGCTCTGTCCTATGGCCCACAGGCAATAACATGGCAGTGTGTGTACATTCAATGGCCAAACAATTTTTTTTTTTTTAACTTTTAAGACACTTAAAATAGTGAAGTGGTAAGTCACTGCAACGTTCCCCTTCAGGCAAAGGGAGAGGAACAGCACAGCACCACAATGCCTTATAGTGCTCTCTCTTCTTGTTTGCTGTTGCCACTCTGCCCAGCAGACTACAGGAGCCGAAAGACCTCCAATGCAAGCTACTGTGTGTGCTGGGCCACAATACAAAATGATGACACTGCTCCTCTATGGCCAAGCGCACCTCAGTGTGACCAAGCAAACCTGAATCCAGTGCTCACAGGCTGCTAAAATCCACAGTTCAACTTCTGGGAGCCTGAAAACAGGATTCTCCACAGGCAGCCTCTTTTACTGAGGTATCTGTCTTCTTAGCTGATGCCCAATAATTGTTCACCATTATTGGCTAAATTGACTCAATTATCAGTGTCAAATGCACCAACACACTTTCCTGGAAAGTTCAGGTCTCAGCAACTGAGATGACGCTATATGGTTTTGTTCCAGTGTCACACACCAGGAAATTATATTGGCTCATCTAAGCAATAATGATTAGAGTGGCTCTATTCAGTTAAGGTTTTCAAAATGAGTCACTAGAAGGTGAATGCAGAAAGATGTGACCTGTCCCAGATAGGATATGGCCCTTGTGCTCTAGGTTATCACAATACCACACTAAGTCCTGAAGGAGTCTATAATATACCTTGCATTAGACCTCTGGTGTTCAACTACCTGGTGCAAAAAGCACCACTAAATTTCAGTTTTGGCATCCTGAAACATGCATAACAGTATTTTGGGCAAGATGAATCACTATTGTATTTTCTCCAACTATTACAAGTTGCTTTTCTGCCATGTGTGGGTAAAATTAATGACAAGTATTCTTCCCTGGTATAGAAAATTGCCAGTTAGTGACATATGGTACAAATAATTATATTTTTGCATTTCTTTTGGCCTATTATAAAAATACTGCTCAAAACAAAAAAAGGTTCTTACTGCCTTAAACTGCTAGCCTAGAGGTGCATCTTGAATAAATGTCTGAGCAGGGGATTCATTAGCCAATGATTTATTGCTCAGTGAAACTTTCTAGTAAAAGTAGTATTATGTGCAGGCCTTACATGCTTACATAAACTCCAGTAGTGAGAGGCAGCTGGCACAAAGTGAGTAGACCACATTCCCATCATCTTTAATGCTCATCTACTTGCTATTACAGTTTAGTATCTAGCTCAAATCCACATCTGTATGCTGCTCAGTTTTAGCACCTAACAGCAAGAGGCTTTAGGTGGGAAGAAGCTGATTTTAGAGATGAATATAGTTTATTCCTCTGACAGCACTTAAAGGGGTGACTTCAAGAGTTATGATTAAACCACGTAACTCACCTTAGGCTGTCTCTGTAGCACAAGGTGGTTTCTGACTGTGCCTGTGCAATTTGGCCAGCACTATTGCATGTATGTGCATGCATTCCTTTAAGGGAGACCAATGTAAAGAGCCATTTAAGAGAAGTGATTCTCCATCTGTCAAATCAGGCTCAAGGCTACGGTGGGAAGTTATGACTCTTCAAGTTCCAAAACTAGTAGTCTGCTTCTGCTCGCAGTTTCCTTAGTTTCAATGTCCCTTTTGGTGGTACCAGATGCAACTCTAGGTGTTCCTTCCCTGCCTTCAAACCAGCACTTAAGTACATGGTAGTTTTGGTGCATACCAGACCCTAAACGGGCCTTGACAAGACAATCTGAATGCAGAAGGTCAGAGTAGCTGGAAACAGCACTCCTAATTTCATAAACGGCTTTCACACTAAGAATTGAGGCTGTTCTGCTATCCTGATGGCTGTCTAATTCCAAGGGACAAGAAATTTATAGGCAAGAGGGAGAACAGGTGCCTTCTAGGAGCTGCTAGAGCAGAGTAAGGAATGTTGCCACTTCCCAACGTGGGCCCAGAAACACCACTCCAGTATGCAGATGAGAAGTATCTCCAGGGCTTTTGACAATGGTGTCCCTCTATTGCTCTCTGCAAGGAGTAAACATCCTGCAAACCCTCTGTAAACGTTCACTTTGGCCTGCTGGCACTGTGAAGGGGTCAACACGGTTGGAGAATATAAGACAAGGATGGCTTTTGTGAGCTGGGACAGACAGCCAGAGATGGTGGGGTGGAAGGTGACGTTATGAAAGCTCTTCCCTTCAGAGGCTTTGGATAACGTCCTGCTCAGCAGACAGCCTGTGGCTCTGTACCTCATGCTTCCTGGAGCATCATGACCAATAAAAATTTGTGCTCTGTGCATTATTAGCGAAACTACCTGCTAAATCTGAACAGAAGTTGGGGAAGTAACTCATCCTACTGAATCCATTATTCCTTGGGGGGGAAATCTGGTACTAGGCCCTCAACTCCCAAGTTGTAGCTAAAGCAATATAAGAAATGCATATTACTAGTAGCAGTGTGCTCTGTGCTGTCACAATCAGCTCTGCTTGTGGCCCAGAAAGGCCTAAGTGAATTTCCTTCTGTAAATTAGCAAGTTATTTTGCTGAACGGGTGTTGAAACAATTGCCTTCCTCTGGTAGGGATTGCGGTTTCCTCTCATCCAGCTTAACTGCTGGGTCAACACCTACTCTAATCTGTGTTAGATACATATGCTTAATGATCTGTGATTCAGTAGCAGCACATTTTGATAGATGCTTTACTGTGACCTTCCTTGGAGCCCCCAACACAAGGAGGACATGCTGGAGCAGGTCCAGAGGGCCACAAAGATGACGAGAGGGCTGGAATACCAGCTGAGAGAGTTGGTGTTGTTCAGCCTGCAAAAGAGAAGGTTCTGGGGAGATCTTATTGCAGCTTTCCAGTGTCTGAAGGGGGCCTACAAGGAAGCCATGGAGGGACTTTTTGCAAGGGCTTGCAGTGACAGGACGAGAGGTAATGGCTTTAAACTGAAAAAGGGTAAATGTAGATTAGATGTAAGGAAGAACTTTGCTATGTGGGTGGTAAGACAGTTCAAGAGGTTGCCTAGGGGAGTTGTGGATAGTCCATCACTGGAGGTGTTCAAGACCAGGTTCGATGGGGCCTTGCATACCCTGGTTTAGTGGGAGATGTCCCTGCCCATGGAGGGGAGGTTGGAACTAGATGGTCTTTTGAGGTTGCTTCCAACCCAAACCATTTTGATTCTATGAAATAAAACAATGTAATTGACTGAGTTTGTTGGAACTCCAGTCCTTTTGTATTCGGCTATTTTTCTTCTTTCACGTAATCAATTCAAAATAAATCAATTGACAAGAGTGCTAACAAGATGTGAAAGCATTCTAGCCTTCCCTCAGGCTGTAAGTCTTAACTAGTGTCCTTCTGGCAATGGGGAGCTGTATGTGGAGTGCAATAGGTAATTAATTATCTTAAACTGTCTTATTGGGTATCTCTTCAAATGAGGCTTATCCAATTGCTAAATTCAATATACTGCTCTCCCTCAATCTTTTGTCTATTCAAATTAAGCTGTTGAAATAATGCATTAAATTCTAAAAAGTGATGGGACACCCTGCTCAGTAGATTTGGTCCTGAAAGGTTATCTTTTTTTTCATGTGAAAAGTATATTGTTTGCACTCAGAATCAGAGTATGTGAAGTGAACCAGGATGATGGAAGAAGTTTTGCATTAAACAAATTTGCAGAAGCCAAGTATGTATCTGCAGGCATCAACTCTCTTCAGGTCTCTGGTCAGAGAAGCAATACCAGTGCCCTGCAGTCATACTGTTTGTGTCACGAGAAAGGCTACCTTGGCCTTGCCCACTAAAGCAATTTCTGTGGAGACTAAAAGGGGCAGAAAAACAGCCTAGGAGACTGCTTGTGAAAAAGTTCAGGAAGCTTGTCCCAAGGACATGGGAAAGCAAGTACCACTGAAGTCCATACTCTCCATGGGATGCCTGCACATGTGAGGGGATAATCACTGTGGCAGAGAATCAAAAGGTACTGCTTTTGCCAGGAGATTAAGATGTTAAAGGCTGAAAGTGGCATTTACCTGACATTGTCATCTTTTAGTTTTCTGGCTGCTTGTTTGGACAACTTAATCTGCAAGTCCAACCTCTGTAGGAAATCTTTGGCAGATAGTTCTTCTGGTGCAGTGGGCTGATTGTCAGGCTCTTGAGGACTGGGAGAAGAGCTACTTTCCTCCTGAACTGTCACTAGTCCTTCATCACAAGAAGGGGAGCTGTCAACAGTTTCATTCTCAGGAGACTCCAGTGAATTAAGTCCATTGAAGAGTAATGGTTTCTCTGATATAACAGGAATGTTCAGGGTTTTCCTCAGAAATATACAGTCGTTAGTGAACAGCTTATTTGCCCTCTTTATTTGTTCCATCTGAAAAAGATAGGAAAAATGTGAGTTTTTAGGTTTTGCCAAAAGTATAATTTTCTGCACTAGTACAGTAACTTTTAATTACGATAAATCCCTACTTTCTTTGCTACAGTAGTGACTCTAGGAAATCAGTTTTTGTTTTCAAAGTGATTTTAGACTGTATGTTTTATCTTAACCTTGTTAACACACTAGCTTCTTCCTTTTTTGTAGACTTGACTTCAAGATATTGGTCTTTCTAAAGTCTTGCACTATCTAAAGATGCTTTTCTTGAACAATCTTCCAATCTTTATACAGGGTCACATGAACAATTTGTCAAATAATAAAAATCCTATTGCAAAAGTGCTGCTGATTTGGATTTGCATTAATGTAAGGCTCAGGACTGCTAGCAGCTGCTGTAGGTGAACTCTGGTTAAAAGCATGCATAATACAAACAAGGAGTGATAAAGTTACCCTGAGCTTTCTAGGACATGCTAGTTATGAACAGCAAGCACCACAAGTATTGGAAGAGCATCATATGCCTCATCCATGGTATTTTTGCCCCTTGCTGATGTAACAAATTCAGGCTTCAGATGAAGTTCTGATTTTCAGTGAGAAGTCAGGCAGTAAAATGACTGTGGGACTCTTAAACACTCTGTAATATATCTGCATAGGCTAGTGGCTGCATGTGCATAAAAAAAAGCCATACTTGTTCCATACTTAACCTGAGAAGCTATTATAAATTTCATTGCCTTAAATGTTTATACTGTCTCTCTACTAAGAATGTAGTTTAAGTTGTTACTCATTGAAATTTCCCTTCCAAGTCAGTACCAGGTAAACCAGCTTCCTATTTCTCAGTTGCAAGCTTTAGGAAAGCACAGAAATCAGTATCCCCAATTACGTGACTTTAAGCTTTAGGTAGAACCTGAACTCATGATTTCATTAAGAAAAGTCTTAAGTGAAAGAAAGAAAAATGACCATTCTTGTCCCTTGGTAATGGCAATAAGCAGAAATCCCTATTCACTACAGTACTGCAATGATAGATGCACTCTAAATAAAACCTGCTTGAAAACAGTATAAAGAGAACTGCAAATACCTCTGGCCTGAATCAGAAGCGTTATTCACTTTTATTAAACTAAGTGGAGCTAAACTGAGTAATAAAGACTGTAAGTATTGTAATAATAGGAGTCTTACTGCTAGCATAATTGCCCAGAAAAAGCTGAGCACTCAAAGCACTAGCCTCTTGCCACTTCAAAGTCTGAAGTAGCTTCAGTTCAGCACTCAGGTGAAAAAAATTGCTCTACCATCTTAGGTTTGTTGGTCTTAAATTCTTTAACTTTTCCCTGATATTACCTGGAGTCCTTCCCAAATACAAAAGAAAAGACCACTGTTAACAGATAACTGGGGTCCCATGCCTGTGGAGTTCTTATACTGAACATACTAGCAGGGGAAGCTGTCTAAACCACAGGAAAAAAACAGATGTTAATTCTCTGTGCAGATGTGAGACTGCGTGGCCACTTGCAGAACCGGAATGAACTCCTGCATGCAGTGTAGACCTGTACTGTGTGGTAACAGTATCTGCTGCAGTGCTGTTACGGTGTCATGGATGTATGCACTTGCTTGGGACCCGTAAGCCTGATAAAATCCTTCTCTGTAAAAATCAATGGATTCTCTCCAGAAAGGCTAGGTGTTCAGGACAGTGAGGTGCAGTAAAGCTCAGCAGGCAGCTGTTTCTACCCATTAGATACACAAAATGGTATCCTCTACTTAACAGACAATCCCAGCATGTTGCTGCAGATGGCTAAGAAGATGGAGTGATTAGATTTAATAATCACTTTCAAAAGCTGAATTACTATCTAGAACTGGATATTACTTGGCTACTACAAGTAAGAGTAGCTCATTACTCTTCCAGTTCCTGCAGCCTGGAGGCTACCTTTAGTCAACCTTACAGGATACATGTTGTATCTCTAAGTTCTCTCCCAAGATGAGCATCATCTGAAAGGCATAAAGGAAGCTTCATCTGACTTAGCAGTGAGACTTGTAATTGCCTTCAGATGCTAGTTTAAATGTCAGTTATCAAAACATCTAAAAGCTGTCTGTCTTAATGGGTTTCAAATGGTTTAAAATGCTAGCTGGAGCTTTTTTCTAAAAATACAATACAAAAGCTGAAAACTGAGATCTCTGCTGTGGGGGAGTTGGAAGGTGATGCTTCAATAGCTGATAAATAATGCACTGTAGTGCTGTCCTCTGTCCTACTTCACTGTAACATTACCACTGGCTACATCTTCCTAAAATACCTTTTAATCCATCCTGTGGCATCTGGAAAACTGCACCTCTGCACTGAATAACAATGAAGTCAGAAATACCTGGTTCTGAAAAAACATCCCTCAGCTTTGAGCAAGTTACTTGATGTGCGTAATGTATACTGCTCCTTCTGCCACTCAGTATGACTGCATATAGTCATAGAGGCACGGAGAGCAGGATTTGACATGAGTTTTCTTAGTGCCAGAAAAGCTGAACTAATTTCTGCTAGCTACAGACCTATAACATTGAAAGTGTGTGCTAAAGCCTTGGCTCTTAATACTTTAACTGGAGCTGCACCAATGCGTGAACTGGTGAAATAAATTCATCAAGACTGCTTCCACTGACAGTGAAACAAACAGTCCTCTTCCTTCTCCCATCAAAAGTGATACTTTGGTATGATGGGGAAAAAAACACTCCAACTGAACCACAAATACAACACCAAACATTAATTCCTAGTGTTAATTTACCCAAGTGTTCAAAGGAAGCTCTAACGAACACAAGCCATACAAGATGAACAGACAGTATGGAGGGAAGCGCGGTAAAGCGCAGAGGATGGGGCCAAACAAGGCACACTGATCATGTCCTGTCCCCCAACGTTTGCACCCATCTCGAACTGCCTAGGCTACGTCATGCCAAGGCAGGCACTGGACAGGATGTCTCTTACTGCAAAGTAACTCCCAGTGAGGAAAACCACAGAGAGAAACTTCTAAAAACAGTAATACTGGAGGCAATGGCAGCCAAAGATAATTCTGCTGTTCCTGTTACAGCAACTATCACTTCTAGCTAAGTATACAGCATGCAGGAAGCAAATGTAATGACTCTTTAGAGGAAGTCAGTCCTTGTTGTTGTGTGAACGTGTAACATTCTTCATTTTGCTAAAGCAAACATGTTTGTGTATATTTCTGCCTTAGGCTGAATTCATTAAAGCAGAAACACAGTGGCTGGTTTCAGCTAACTTGGCACTGCTCTTATAAGGTCATTTCATGTCAGTTTAACCTTTCTCAATTGAAGTTCATAATGATTCAGCTCTGTTTTCTTACCTGGAATGTTAGCAACAATAACAAATGTTTAAAACCCTTGCATTTATACCTCAAACATAATAAACTTTTGTTGTACTAATGATAAAACTCGTACTATGAACAAGGGTTATGGTTCATAAGTTAAGCCTGTTTTTCATACTGTACAGGCTTGAGCCACAATTTTACTTTAGCTGAAAGGGAGTTGCAAAGTGTTTAGAAATACTTTTTTTCTAGAAAAATTTTACTAATCTGTATATATTTTTCACTTACTGCAGTGAACAAAACCACTTCTTAATCTAGAAAACCGCAGCTATTAGGCCAGAGACTTTATCCATTATGGAACACACTGTCAAAACCAAAAATTCAAGCAAATTCAATAAGCAGCTCAAGTCATTCTGCTTTGCCCCCCCAAGGGAGCAAAACTTTTCTTAGTATGGACTGATATAAATCCAAAATGCCCTTAACCCTGCTGTCAACAAGATTTGGTCATACGTGGCTTAATCTTCAAGAGAAAAGATGGGACTTTTAACCCTTTTCACAAAAGGCTGAATGCTGCTAAAGTTGCTGGGAAGCTTTAGTACATCTCACTGGAATGGATTTCTGGTTCTGAAAGAACATATTAATCAGGGACTGCATTGTGCACTTGTAGAAAAGAGCCCAACTGGGAGGTACTTCTCAAATCTGATGTGAAAGTGACACCAAGGGAGTACTAATAGCTGCTGTTAACTGTGCTCATAAGCTTCTTGGCCTCAAGCAAGTCTGCACGTTGGGACTACTGAAGCTGCACACAGATGGGTCTGTTGGTAGCTCAGCACTAAATAAGCTGGAATGAAGGTAGGGAAGGCAAGCTGTGTGCTGTGGAGACTGGTAGTGTATTTGGGCCTCCTGGTAGACTCTACTGGACTGCCTGTCCTAGTTTGACATAAGCCTTTCAACATTAGTCAGTGCTCTCTACAGGAAGAGAGCAGAAAAGTAGCAACACTTTCAAACTGGTAGTAAATCAGTGCTAGGCTGGTAGGTAGATGACAATGGAAGAATTCTGAGCCCTGAAACTACTTGAAGAATTTTTCTTGTCACAGCCTTGTGTGTCAACCTCAAAATACTAATTTAAAGTAAGTTTAGTTACTTTTTTTAAATCTGAAACGAGTGTACTGGTGAACTGTGATGCGAGCAGAGGTTTAGCAGGTGGAAGTGTGAGCATCTCCCCACCAGAGGCCACCGGTCAGGCCACTTTCCTGCTTGTGCTGCTCGATGCCCGGTGCCCCGTCTCGGGCAGCGCGAACTTCTGCTACTTCCCCTCAGACGGGGCGCTGACCACTCCGAGCAGTCGGACGTCAGTGCTGCAAAGACCGAAACCAACGCTAGCGCTGCGGGCGCGGCAGGCACTGGCTCTTCTGCCCGCCGTCGGTAAGAAGCGTCCTACGGGGCAGTTCACGCCGCCGTCTCTCGGCTGTTTCCCACCTCCGGCGG